GATCTTTCTGAGGCTTTAGTTAAGAAGAATGAGTCTTTGAATGTTTACGAGAAAAAAATTACGATGCATGAAAGTAGGAAGCAATTCCGAAAAGAGAATCGTATGTTTGAGCTTTTCCGAGGTCGATTTTATCGTGGGTTATCTGAGCGTGTAGAATCCGAGCATGTGGTTAGCCGTGATGAAATTGTGAGTTTTTGGTCTACAATGTGGAACAAAAATGATGACACAGTCACGTACGATGATTATTTGATTCCATTTGTATCAGATAATCATCCGACCACGTTTCCTTCACTTGATGAATTTGTAAATATCATTAATTGGCTTCCCAATTGGAAAGCTGCTGGAATTGATGGTATTTACAATTTTTTCATTAAGAAACTTACAACTCTTCACAAATATATTTATGATATTGTGAAAGTTATATGTTTAGAAGGAACAACTCAAGCTGATTGGTTTTACTGCGGGCTTACGTATTTGATACCGAAAGGAATTCCACGAAGAGGCTCTGACTACAGGCCAATCACTTGTACGTCCAACCTCTATAAGTTAACGACAAAGTGTGTGACAAAAGTCGTTCAAATTGAAGTGGAAAGGCGAGGGTTGCTTGCAGAGAACCAATTAGGGGCGGTAAGAGGTGTGCAGGGAGCGAAAGAGCAGGCTCTACTGAATATTGCCTTAAATAAAGAGTATGGAAATAATCTTAAGGCAACATGGATTGATGTTAAAAAAGCTTATGATTCAATAGATCATGCTTATTTAACTCAATGCATTGAAAACCTTAATTTACCTGATTGGATCCTGAAATTTATTAAGGTAATTATATCAAAATGGAAAATTGATATATCAGTAGGGCCTGAAAAAATCATGAGCAAGAAGATTGATAGAGGGATCCTGCAAGGAGATAGTTTGTCACCATTGTTGTTTGTGTTGTGTATGGATCCATTAAGCCGAAAGCTTAGTTAAAAATACACAAAAGTGACAGTACAAACAGATGCAGAATCTCATTCTACTAATCATCTCTTGTTTATTGATGATCTTAAGCTCCTTGCAAAAGACAGCTCCACATTGAGTGCTATGACAGGCAGGCAAAGGAATTTTTAGAGGTGATTGGCTTAGAGATTAACAAAGAGAAGTCAGCCACAAATGATACGTGTTGTGAAGATACTGCTACTCTTCAAGAAGGTGTTAGTGTTTACAAATATTTAGGAATAATAGAAGATAGCAGAGGAATTCCAACACGTAGCTCATTTGAAGAAGTACAAAGCAAACTTATATCAAGAGTTGAAAGACTTTGTCACACTAGATTAAATGCAAAAAATTTATTTTCCGCAATCAATCAACATGCGATATCGTTAATCAACTAACACATAGGAGTACTTCGACTTGAACCGGCTGACTTCTCTAAGTTAGATGAGGCAGTGCGTGCGGTGTTGGTTAAAAATAAGATACATCTCCGCCCAGGATGTAAAGAGCGGTTGTATCTTCCTAGAACAGAACTTGGAAGAGGTCTACATAGTGTTGAGTTGCGAAGCGAACATATGCTTCTGCAACTCTTGGATTGTCTGGAAAAAAGTAAAGAAATATCAACTAGACGAGCAGCAATCCTCAAGGTGGAGAATAATAATAAAACCCATCTTGCACTAATAAAAGGCTTCTTAAAAGTAAAGTACAGGTTGGTAGAAGAAGTCACTAAGAAAAGTTTAGAATAAGCTCAACTTGCAAAACTATATAACGAAATAGAAAAACGAAAACTCCATTCAAAGTTATATAATGCAAGAAAAAATGAGCTTGTGAGTGTTAGTGACTCTTCAAGATGGCTAAAGAGAGGAAATATTAGGCCACGAAATGAAGCTGTGTTCTGCTATATCCAGGATAGAAATGTATTCTGGGGAGCAGATGGTGTGTGTCAACATTGTGGGAAGTCTGGTAAGACTGTAGATCATCTAGCAACTAGATGTGAAAAAATGCTAGGCCATGATTACACTAGACAGCATAATGAAGTGGTTAGATGCCTACACCTACTTCTTCTAAATAGATATAAGTTTAAGTCTTCCAAACGAATAAGGAGTCACTCAGTTCAAGAAATTCTTGATAATGAGTATGCAGAGATAAGAGTGGACACCAGAATAAAAACTGATGTTAAAATTCGGAATAACAGACCGGACATATTTATTTTAGATAAGAAGAAGAATAAGATAACACTCATTGAAGTAGGAATCACTTCCCAAGATTCACTTCAAATAGTTGAAACTGAAAAACTTAGGAAGTATGACCTGCTAGCCAATGAGTTGGGTCTTATTTATAAGTGTAGTGTTGAGATAATCCCCTATGTGATGACCTGGGACGGTATTGTGACAAAATACCATAAATCCTATCTTAAAAGACTAGAAATACCCACGAATGTAGAGGCATACATTCAGTCCTTAGTACTTAAGAAAACAGTCGAAACAATTTCCTTTGATCGACGAAGAGGATTCGAGTCAGGACTAAATGCCGAAGAGAGCTGGGAGAGAGCGTCAATGAGTGTTATTATGAGATCAGAGATGCATGAGGAACCAATACCCCCTTTAAAAGAAGCGAAAAGAGAGGAAGATGGTGTTAAAACTTTAAAACCAAAAAATAATACACCCCTTATTTCACAAGGAGGAACCACTTTGGAGGAACCGACCAATAACATAAATGAAGAGTCGGATTTGGAAGAAGAGACACTAGTGGTCAAAGAGGTAGAAGAAAACATATAAAAAGGTGCAAAATATTTTAACCCAGAATTTTATTAAATAAATTTTTTCAAAATCTAGATTAGATTTTTGTTTACTATTTAATCAGAGCAAATCACTTATTATTCTATAATAAAATTAAATATTCTAAATTAAATTAAATTTTTTCTTAAAAACAAATCTTTTGAATAATTTGCAATGTAAATGACACTATTTAGGAAATATTTATTTGAAATAGAATAAAGATATAACATTTTACCTATAGTAGTATTGACTGTTTTATATTTACCGGGGTTTAGAATACCCAATTTATTTATAAAGGTTTGTATTTGCAACATATGTACACAAGCGAAACGAATAACCTTTTATATGTAAGTTTAAACCGAAAGATGTGTATGCGCATTTTTTGTTGACAATGACTCTGTTTTGACCGCAAAAATATAAAAAGAAAAAAAGACCACTTTAATCAGCCGTCTTGTCACTTGTATTCTATTTATATACTGTTTTGGGTATAAAGAAAAAATACAAAAAACTTAGAAAAAATAAATCAACAAAGTATAGTAGGAACTATTTTTTGAAATAAGCAATATTTAGAATGGGAATCATTTTTGTCGTTGCAGCTTAAAATTCAGATGGTATCAAAAATATAAAAAATGAAGTTATGAGCACCAGAAAACCTTCAATATTGTAATAAATAAAATTTTATAACGAATATACCCTTACCAAGTAGACAAGGCTAAGAAAATTATCCCCGTGTGTTAAATTGGCCCCAAATATGCTAAAAAAATAAATATCTTATAAAATTTTCTAAGCACTCATTCATTCATCCTCGGCACTACAACCCTGTGCCCGAGCCTCGTCTTCGCTCAGTAATACCGCTCAACAGTCTTTTTCCAGTGGGTTAGTTTACTTTTTCGGGTTTCGTAATAAAATGTTTTTAAAGGGTGGGTTGTTAGCCCTACGCCCAACCCCAACTTGGAGGATTAGTCACTTTTAGTCGCTTCTTACACCAAGCAGAGAATGCTGCAAGCCAATTCTATCCCTGGCATAATGGGTAAAGAAAAAATTTGGTTACATTTACTATTTGCTGTGAAAAAAAAGAAAATGGATTATTAGGTGTAATGTCAAATTGTTTACCTCTTAATAAAGCCGTCTAGATATTCATTGCTTAAATTTATCATTTTAAACCAATTTATTGGTTAGTGTTACAAAATGTTATTAAGTTAGGATTGTAAAGTTCTAAATATAAATTTAAGTATAATTTTTCCGAAGTTTTGCTTTTTAGGAAATTTAGTACCAAAAGATGCCTCTGCTTCTATTCTGACCTTTAAAAAAATATAAAAAGCTCTAAAAAATGCCATTGTCTGGACTTACACCAATGTTATCGTTTTTGAAATAAAAATTTCCAACGCAGCAATTAGATTATCATATTGTATATGTTAGGTTTTGTAAAAATTTCTTACTAAAGATGTACATAACTTTTGTTGTTATTTTATTCTACTTCCTTCTTGTCTTTATTGTATTTTCCTTTAAATCCCATAAAGAAGTATAAAATTTTTTTAATAAAAACCATAAAAAAAATATTTTTGAAACCCTTTAATTGAAGTGTATTTATCAACATGGGTCTTATATTCTTAATTTTTTGAAATTTTCATATTTTTGGAATTTAGATTAAAATACAAAACTGTCTTAAAGATAAAGGAAAACAAAGAAAAACAAGTGAAAAGACAAATGCATAAAAATTGAATGAAAGAAGAATACATTAAAATTCTATTTTTTTTATTTGTTGGTAATTTTTCTTTATTGCACTTTTCTGATTTTTTTTGCTTTACTTTCTTATTTTTTAATTTTGAATTGGTTTTAGTATTTTTTTAAATTTATTTTTTTTTTCGGTTTAAAAAGATCTTATTTTATTTAAATTCTTTAATTTATCCCAAAATAATTATTTTCACACCAAAACTGTCGTTTCTCGCCAAAAAAGCTATAAATGAATATTTTTTTCCGAACCCATTAGTTTAGCAATGTATAATCTTCTGAATTTTACTTTTGCCCAGGGTAAAATTCAGCAGATGGGGTTCGGAATGGGGGAGAGGAGTAAATATAAACTACGACAATAAATAATCTTAATATTTATTTAATACCTCGCTCCTACCCTACGGATGGAAACACAATTCAACAATGAATCATAGCTTCGCCAGGTTCTAGGCGTTCCAAAAACAATTTTTTTTTGATCGGTTAGGTTCTGCGCCTACCCAAAGCTGTTGAACGAAAATTAAATTGTGCACCACCAACCGGGGATCGAACCTGGGCTTCAAAAATATATTTCGAATCCTCACCACTAGACCATTGACGATAATCTTAATATGATAATTTAAAAAAAAAAAACAATGCATATCAATATGATGGCAATGTCGTTTATATTTAGACAGAATTTACCCAGCATATATTTTGTTTAGATGGTTTAGATTAATAAATTTGTAAATTCTATCCTGATAGTCATATTTTATGTGTAAGAATACTGCCATTCTGTATCAGTATTCTTTATAAATTAAAATTTTTAGCGAAATCTCGAATTTTTTTAAATAAGTATTAATATCGACAGCACGGCTTTATCTTCACACATGGGTATCGCATTATGAACATTATACTGAGCTCTTCATTTACAAGTTAATACAATGCTTAATTCTCTCTCTTATATTTAATTATAAAAACCTAATTATAAAAAATCGAAAAGGTGGCCGCTACTAACAACAGTATTATAATAGTTTATATCTTACTGCAAAATTAATTTCTACCAATATTTTTGATTTTATTTTCTGAAAAATATTAAATTTAAAAAAATACTCATGAATTAATCAGAGAAAATCAAATGCGAATTTATTGTTCAGGTATTCACTTCAAAAAATATTTTAAATAATAAAAATTTTGTGATGAGATTTTATAACAGTTATAAGGTTGTTTTTAAAACTTATTTACTCATAAATTATAAATATATATTAAAAACATTTTAATATTCGTTATAAATGTGATTATATACCTTTGTAACTTTTTATGAATCTATTTATTTTAAATTAGGTTTATCAATTTAACATTCCGAATACAGAATTTTTTAAACCCCGCAGGAATTATACACTAGTTGATTTACAAGGTTTTATTTTCATAAGGTAGTTTTGAGCATAAAAATATTTGTTTTTCAATTGGCAAAAAAAAATTCATGGTATAAATTTATTGATTTCATAAACTAATTTGGTCAAGGAAATAAAATGGCAGTTGAATGGTAAGAAAAAATTAAAAAGTTACAAATCCGATGATTATGACGCGAATTTAAATAAAAAGGTTTTTCAAGAATACAAGAAACAACCATCGCTAGCACCCCTTCCTCTCTTTTACAACACAATACCAAAACATTAAAATCGAGGTGAGAATACAATTAAAGATTTATTAGCTAAAAATCTTGTACTGTCCTAACACACTACCTTTTATTTTTTTAAACTATAGGCGGCGATTCTTCTTATTAATGAAAACCCATTTAAGGTTTTATTTGAAAAAAATACCGACCAATGAAGTTTCAGAAACATGGTTACGTAACAACTGGCCCCACAAGGACTCAAATTTCTTAAACAAAAAGTAGAAGATAACCTCTATCAGTTGGACAGGGTGCAATGTATAGCATAATGAGTAATTTAGTTCCTACATAAGTTAGATATGGTAAACAAAATTCTATGCAACGGAACTAAAGTAAATTAAGAAAAGGCGAAAATGCGAGAAAACATAGATTTTAACTTTTTTATCTAAGCTCTGTTCTTCGATTTAAATCAATGAATACCGAATTCCGATAAAAGATTTCTAAAGAAGAAGTTACAGTCAGAAAGAAACTTAAAATCAGATGAAAACCAGACGCCTCCGAAAAAATCGGAAACAGCCATTGAGCGTTTTTTAAATGAAAATTGAAAAAATTTTGATCATTGCGGGATCAAACCAATTGAATATATCGCGCGTATTATTCAAGATGCTTCATATTCTAGAACAAGACAATGCGCAAATGGTGATAATTTTGCTTGAAGAAAAACAATTTAGTATGAAGGGTGCCTACAAAGAGCAGAAAACAGCCCTTTTTTTATCATCTATATAATAGCACATGACTAGATAGAGTTCAAACGGACTGATGCAAAAATCGATGATTTAATTTAGGGGATAAAGTTTATGGAATGTAAGTAAAATTTGGGTTTATTATTGAAAGATCTGAAACTTTACCACCAAACACTATCAAAATGATAAATTGAATACATAATGACGATTAAAAAATTATTAAAGAATGATAAAAAAAATTAGAGGGAGATGGTTTTAAGTCGATCTTTATAATTGTGCATGACTCAGTCAAGCCCAATGTCAATCAAAATTTACAAAAGGTGCTGCTAAGAGACTACAAACGACAAATAGACTCGTTTTAATTGATACTATTTAGTATTTTGGTGTCATATGGCTCACAGACTTTGTGCCAATGGGCGTAAAATATTTTTTCTTGAAAATAGAGTAAGGGTTAACAAAGAGAAATCGGCCAAAAATAATGATTGATATGAAGAGAACGTACACCTCAAAAAATTTTGGCCTATAAATAGGTAAAAAAATAAAGCCAATAAAGAAAACCACTCAGAGATATTCGTTGAAGTAAAAAAAAATTATGATATCAGTTGAAAAAGCATTATCCAACCAAACCAAATCATATATTTTTTTCTATGCAATAAATGAGCTGCTATGTTGTTAACTGACTATCATATATGAATACTTTTATCTTTAAAGGCATATTTCATGGATTAATATGTTGAGGAGTGTGATGTTTATAAATAAACATGCTCGTTACTGAAAAAATGTAGAATAAACATATACTCACTTAAAAATAAAAAGAGAAGCCTTTGAAGGCCTCGATAGAGAAGTGAACAAAGGCTTTGTAACTCGTAAATTGTGGGAAAAGAAATAAAAAAAATCATGCAGAAGAGCTGCAATCCTAAAGTGAAGAATGGTAACAAAATTCATCTTACACTATTTAAAGACTTCATTAGAGTAATTAAAGATTAGAAATAGAATTGAAGATAAATATTTTAGAATAATAAATTGTGGCAAATTTAATAGCAAGATAGAAAACATAAAATTATATTTTAATTTATTTAAGACAATAAATATTGAATTAATAACTTCAAATTACTCTTCACGAGTTAAAGAACCGAGAATTTAATCACCTAGCGAATAATTATGTTGTTTCATTCAGAATAGAGAGGATTTTTTAGATATAAAAGGAATCTAGCAATCGTAAAAACTCTATAAACTCGGTGACTATTTGAAGGATAGATGTAAAACGCACCCTTACATGTGTATATATACGCGATAATGATTTGGCTTTAGGTTTCACTTACTTATCTTAAATATATATAGGTCACCGTCTTCAACGCAATTAACTGATACTTTGATTCTGAAAAGTGAAAATGATTGTTAGAAGTAAGATGAGACACCTAGATCTAAAAAAATACTTAAATTTTGATTAGGAGATTGTGATGTTTGTTTTAGACTTTGTAAAATCAAGTCTAACCTTACTAAGTAGAACTTCTTTCCTAGTATTCACTTTTCTTAGTTGAAACAGAAATAATTAGGGAGTGTGTCAGAATAACAAATAATTAAGTCCCAGTGTAAACAGTAGTATGAAGATATATTTCTATGGAATACTGAGATAGTGTTGGGCTACTATTTATGATGTACCGTCTGACATCAAATATTTTGGATATTGAAGGAAATATTAAATAAAGCACTAAAAGAGAAAATTAAAACATGAATTCTTATTCGCTAGGTGAGCTTAGTTGTCAAAGAAATCCTTAAGAGAGTGCAATAATAGCGTCATTGTGTGTTATTGCAGGAGCTGAAAGAGATGAATAAGCACATGCTTTTATAATTACTGAATAATGGGGAAGAAAGTTTTACACAGGTAAATATGAAATTGGTTTAATGGTCTAGTGGTGAGGATATCGGAATTAATTTCTGGAGGGCCGGTTTCGATTCCTGTTTGGCCACTCTTTGTCTTTCGTAGAAGAAAGTTTGCTTTTGGCTAACAACCTATTCAATCGAAAGAAAAATGTCTTTGGAACGCCTATAACTTGGCTAGGCTATGTATCATTCTTGAATTGTGTTCCAGCTCATCCTTAGGGAAGGGCGAGCTATTAAAAAACAATACGAAAAATATTTTATCACCTATTTTAGATGACGTAACCACAATTTAGGAACTGATAATATACGTAAATAAAGCATCCAATTACGAAAAGAAAAAAAGTGTTAAAAACGTTAAAGTTACCCTATTTTAGAGAGAATTATGCTAGTATTCCTGAATTTGATTGAAGGAGTATCAAAAGATAAAATATTTGTAAAAATTTTATATTTTATACGAAAGTTTTAATAGGTAAAATATGATGCGCTTTTTCAAAAAAAAATAGTCTAAATATTTTATTAAACTTAAATATCAAATTTGAAAATTATTTTCCACTGTTAAATATTCAATATTAGATTTTATCGCCTGAAAACGAGACCTTTTTTGAAGATTTGTTCAAAAAATAAAAGATCTAAGAATAAATGTTGGATAAATATATTTAAACATTATAATTTGTTTAAAATCTTTTGTGTTATTCTTATTAATTTTTTTCTATCCTCCTCCGATTGAATTCTATCTAGCATAGCTGATCTCACTGTAATAAAAAAGTTTCTGTTAGAATCACTTGAAAATGGAGAATTATTTGTGTTTGAATAAGGAACAAAATCAATACGTTGTAAAGATAAGTCAATAATACTACGCGAGGAATCCAAAGATGTACCACTTATGTCATTATATATTGCTTCTACCAATGTATAAAATATGCTTGAGATAAAAATCATAAATTCGCGAAGTTGAATGTATAAATACTTTTTTTGAGAAAAAATTTTAAGATTTAATTTAGAATAAATACGAAAGAAAAAATAAATAGTAAAATGTTGGATGTTTAACCAAATTTTTATGGAAAAAGGTTTTCAAATTTAATTTAGAAAAATGCAAAAGAAAATCTTAAATAGCATGATTTAAATATTTACATAAACTTTTATACAGAGAATTTTAAGATTTAATTTAGAATAAATAAATGCATTTAAATGTTATCTATTTATTCACAAAAATAGGTATAAGAAAAAAAAGTTAGTTGAAAAACAAAGAAATGATAAAAAAATCTGTAAAAAGCGCTGATTAAGTAGATAATAATCAAGGTGTGGTGAAAACTGTTAGTAACACCTGCTGGCAAATTCTCTAACTTTCTCTTCTAAAGAAAATAACAGATAATAATATGCAAAACATACAATAGCACGGAAAATGGTCGAATTAAGCCTTACTCTCTCCAAAATGCCATTTTACTCTACAGTTAGAGTCACTGCGCGATAAACCATCATACATCATGACAAGCCCTCTACTCTAGCTAATCCAGAAGGTAACCGATGGATGGCCCTGCCGAAAAAAATCGATTTCGTAGCATCCGATCCAAAGGAATAGCCTCGATTTGTTTTTTTTGCAGTACAGAAAAGTTTTAAGATAGTCACAGCAAAGCTATTCAGAGCCTAACAGGTACTATAATAAGAAATTTGACTACGCCGTAAATGTCGATATTTTCAAAAAGTTAGCCCAAATGCAGAAAGATGAAACTAAACATTAGAAGAGAATAATGAGCGATTCGAATCGCAAATTTTACAAGATCCATACTCACTGACTGACGTACCCATGTGCATAAACCAGATAGGTAAAATTTCGAGTAAAATAAAAGAAATTTAGAAGAAATAAATTTTAAATATGATGATCCGAAACCAAAGACACCCAAGTTAACTAGTTGAATGAAATATTTGCGTTTCATTAATCGACTAGTATGTGCATATGTTGAAACTCACGTATCTCAGTCAATTCCGGAAGCTTGGAATTCATACAAGCTGTGCAAGCATGCTATCTCGAGGCAATATGTAAAGAAAGACTAAATTCGCTCGAAAGGAAAACAAAGAAATTGAAATTTCTAAGTTAGTAAAATCCAAAAATCTTCTCGAGAAGGCTCGTAAATACGAAAATCTCTTCACCTCGGAAACAAAAAGCTTTAAGAAAATCATGCGAGTGTTTAATTCAAACTGGAGCAGTATAACTGATTTTTGCTGAAGCGGCAGTTAAGAAGCAAGAGTCTTACAATGTCTACTATCAAAAAATTACAATGCACAAAAGTAGAAAGCAATTACGAAAAAAGAATCGTATGTTTGAGCCTTTCCGGGTCGATTTTATCGAAGGTTATCTGACTGTCTGGAATCTGGGCATGTGGTTATTAGTGATGAAACTGTGAGGTTTTCGTCTACATTGCGGAATAGAAAGAATGACACGGTCACGTATGATGATTATGTGATTTCATTTGTATCAAATAATCATAGACCTATTTCCTTCGCTCAATAAATTTGTAAGTATCATTAATTGGCTTACTGATTGAAAAGTTGCTTTAATTGATGGTGTTTAGAATTGTTTAATGATGAAATTTACAACTTTTCATAAATATCTTGATGATATTGTGAAAGTTATATGTTTAGAAGGAAAATCTCAAGCGAATTGGTTTTTCTACGGACTTACGTATTTGATACTGAAAGAATTTTGAAGAGGCTCTGCCTATAAGTCAATCACTGCTATGTTTAACCTCTAAAAGTTAACGACAAAAGGGTAAAGAAAGTTGTTCACTCGAAATGGAAACGCGAGTGTTGCTTGCAGAGAATTAATTATGGGCGCTAATAGGTGTACAAAAGCGAAAGAACAGGCCCAACGCAACGTTGCTTTAAATTAAGAGTATTAAAACAATCCTAAGGCAACATGGATAGATGTTAAAAAAGCTTCTGATTTAATAGATCATAGTTATTTGAAGCGAGGTATTGAAAACACTAATTTACCTGATTGGATCCCAAAATTCATTAGGGTAAAAATATCAAAATATGAAAATTAAATCTCAGTAGGACCTGAAAAAATCATGAACAAGGAGATTGAGAGAAGGTTCTGCAAAGAGAAAGTCTGTCACCATTGCTCTTTGTGTTGTGTATGGATCCTTTAAGCCAAATACCTCGTAAAAAATACACAAAAGAGACAATACAAACGGATGCAGAATCTCAAACTAACAATCATATCTTCTTACTTAGTGATCTTAAACTCTTTGGTTTTGACAAGTTCATATTGAGAGCGTTGACAGGCGCGGAAAAGAATTTTTGAAGGTGATTGGCTGGGAAATCAACAAAGAGAAGACAGCACAAACGCACTATATTGTGAAGATACTGTTACTTTTCTTATAAGAAAAGTGTCATCAGATACATTTAAAGAATACAAGAGGTAATCCAATCCCTGGTTCATTCGATGAAGTACAAAGTAAGCTGATATCAATAGATAGATGACTTTTTCATACAAGATTTAACGCAAAAAATATATTTTCTGAAATCAATCAATCTGAGATATCGTTGATCAACTATCAGATAAGTATACTTCGTATTTAACCAACTGACTTCTCTAAGTTAGATGATGCAGTGCGTGCTAAATTGGTAAAAACTAAGCTACTTCTTCGCCTGCGATGTAAAGAGCGTTTGTATATTTCTATTAAAGAAAGAGAAGTGGCTTATCTAGTGTATGTTGCGAATCTAAAATATGCTTCTGCTACTTTTCGATGTTCAAAAAACGAATTGAGGAAATATAAACTACACGAGCAGCAATCCTCAAGGTGGAGAATAATAATTAAACTCATCTTGCACTAATAAAAGGCTTTTTAAAAGTAAAGTACAGGTTGGAGAAGAAGTCAAGAGGAAAAGTTTAGAAGAAGCTCAACTTACAAAACTATACAACAAAATAGAAAAACTAAAACTCCATTCAAAGTTATATAATGCAAGGAGAAATGAGCTTGTGGGTGTTAGTGACTCTTCAAGATGGCCAAAGAAAGGGAATATTGGGCCACGCAATGAAGCAATGTTCTATTATTGCCATGATAGAAATCTGATTAGGGAAGCAGACGGTATGTGCTAAGCTGTAATAAATCTGGTAAAACTGTCAATTATTGAGCGAAAATATGTAAGAAAATTCTAGTCTTTATTATACCAGAAGGCATAATAAGTTTTTAGGTGTCGACTTCTAGTTCTGTTAAATAAATTTAAGTTTAAGTCTATAAAACGAAAGCGAAATCACTCAGCGTAAGAAATTTTTGAGAACGAGCATGCAGAGATAAGAGTGAACACCAGAATAAAAACGATGTCAAGATTAGATGTAATAGATCACAAATATTTATTTCAGAAAAGATAAAAAAAATGATACCACTCATCGAAGTAGAAAGTACTTCTCAAGACCCACTTTAAACAGTTGAAATGAAGAAACTTAGGAAGTATGACTTGCTAGCTGCTGTTTTAGGTATTTTTTGTAAGTTAATGTTGAGATAATCTCGTATGTGATAATCTGGGATTTCATCGTGACCAAATACTATAAGTCTTACGTTAAAGAACCGCAAAAAACTACATTTCTGAAGCATACATTCAGCCGATAGTAACCAAGCACACTCGAAAAAATTTCCAATGTTACGACGACAAGAACTTGATTTGAACCTAATCCCAAAGCAGGTAAAGAGCGTCAATGAGTGTTTTCAAGCGAGCCGAGAGCATGTAGAACTAATACTTCCTGACAAAACAAGTCAGAAACGATGAAGATAGTGTTAACCATTTAAAAACAAAAAACAACACACTTTATATGCTGGAAGGAGGAACCAAATTTGTCGAACCGACGATAAACTTAAACGAGGAGTCGGATTTAGAAGAAAAAACGGGGGTAAAAGATATAGGAGAAAATATATAAAAATGAATCAACGAAGTTATAAACCAAAATTTTATTCAATACAATAATACTATTTTACTGTTATTGGAGTAAGTTATGGATTTAAAAACATTATGAATTTCTAAACTTATTTGTACAATTTTGTGAAACTTTGAAAAGTAAAAAAAATTAAGTGAATGAAGAAAAAAG